GATAATATCTCTAGGTATCTGCAGCATTTAAGTGATTATTTACTAGTTTGAGCTGAAAAATAAATAAAAGTTTTTTATGAAGAGATTTTTCTTTTCTCTCTTTTACCCCTTTTATAAAGAGGTTCAAACAGTAATGAACTACAACAACAAAAATTCTTTTTTATATTATTTTAATTAATTGAATTTTTGGCTGACCATACAGCTGTTTCGAGTATTACCAAATACCCGTCATCAGTGGTCTTGGAAATAGTTCTTGTAGTTTAAAATTTTTTTATAAAAATAAAAGAAAATACTGAGGTTAAAATATGCTTAAAAATACTTTAGGTGAACAATTTCGTATTTGCGTGTTAAACCTCAACTGATTAAAGGTGAAAAAAAAAATTCATTTCAATCGATTAAAGGCAATGCGTGAATTTCAATAGAAGCGGGTTCTATTGAAAATCAATGATTAATGTTGGCAACGAAATTGAAATGAAGCTGGCATCTACAAAAACAAATAAGAACTTACAAGAGAATTAATCATTCTATTTGTAAGATTTAAAAAAAATTATTTATTTTTATAAGAAAACTTGCCATTTTTGTCTAACAAACGAACTTGAAATTGTTTTATGAGAAAAGCAATAAAACTCTGTTTTTTGAAATCATTTATATTTTGACAATATAAAAATGTTTATAGACTTTAAATAAAAATGAGGCAACGTTGAGTTATGTTTACCAAGTATCTTTAATATAATGCCAAAAATAATTAGAAAAAAATAAGTTACATTTGTGGAATGACATAATTACCATTTGGAGTTAAGTTGTTCACTGGGGGGCTTGTGCTTCTTACCAAAGTAGATGGCATCATATGTTATGTTTAATTCTATGACTATTCTATTTTGGCTTTTAGCTTATCCAATCATGTCAGAGTTGACGTCATTGTTGTTTTTGTCAGATAGAAGGCAAAAAAAAACGAATCCAGTAATTTAAAAAATAATTTAGCAAATAAGGCAAGTGTTTTTCTATGTCATTGTCACTGTTTACTGCTCGATTTCAATTTACTTAACGTACTGAGACAACAAACACAGAACATCGGTGAATTTGTTTAATCTTGAATACTTTTCGCAAATAAAAATACATTTATTTTCTTTTTAAATTATACAAACAAAAATTAATTAACAAAATATTTTTATAGTTTCTCTGCAACTAAGAAGAAAATTTTATTTAATTGGCTTTTAAATTTTTGTATACAGAAATGCATTAATTATAATTAAGTATTTAATGTTTCTAAAACTTCTTCAGATTTATCTATATTATATCTACATTATCTATATTATATATAATATAGATATAGTTATTAGATTTTAATATAGATATTAGATATATTATTTATATTATATATAATATACATAATATTACATAGTATAATAATATAATATATTATCTATATAAACATTAAGAAATATGGTTTAAATATGAGAAAATATATTAAAATTGGAGATATTGAGATTACCAATATATTTCAGTAGCTAATATTAATTTTTTTTGTCGAAAGTCACGCGTCTTGTGATAAAAAGAAATAATTTACAAGTTAGAAGAGTTCAAATTGAAATCAAAAGACAACAACAAAAATTTTAGTGAATTTATTGAAGTTTGGCTGACCATAAAGCGCTGTTTCGAATATTTCAGTAGCTTTTAGTAAAATATGAAGAATTTAACTAGTGACTACATCCATTTGAGTGGGATTTTTGAAAAAAACTTATTCAAAGTTTGACACGTTTCCTATTTCTGGGACTGCTAAGTAACATGCTGAACAACTTTTTTTCTAAATTCTGAAACGATGTAATTTAGTTCTCCAAATATTCGTGATTATGACTATTTAGAATAGACGACTTCAGTTTAGTCCGTTGTCAAATTGGGGTGGGGTGCCACAGAAATATGAATTTTGTACAAACATTGAATTAAATAAAATTTACTATATCTAGTGTAGGTTGGTAGGTAGGTTATACCTATGATCCCAAGAGATTCACTTAGGCCTATAGTTCCATTGTGTTACCATATAATTAAAATCCTAAGGGCTGAAACCACTAAAACGTTTAGCAAAGCTTTTAATGCTATTCAGAGGGAGGTCTTGCGGTTTGCCGAGATCCTTAAAAAAGAAAATCCCTAAAGTGTTAAGGCGGTGTCGCGCATGCGACGGACAGAAACAAAGCAGATGGGACGCATATGTTATATCTAGTGTAAAACGAATTGAAATTCTTCAAAGATAGTTAAAATCACAAACCCTACTATTTTTATACGTTAGGGTAGGCTGATCGTGGTATCTCCTGCAATGCGTCTCTACTATCTCTCAAAGAAAGGACACCAGAACAACTGTTGTGTTTATGTCAAGCCTTATTCAGAACTAGGCTTAAGTTTGTGAGCCCCCTACACACTCGGCGATATCTCCAGATTCTTGCCTCTGGCTGGTTCCAGCTTAATATTTTCTCTACTTATTAATATGAGGATTTGAGGATTTAAAACGACTTATTGAGGAAGATTCCTTCCTCCACCTCAACTAACTAACTAACATTCAACTAATTATTGTAATTCACATTAAACCATATAAACATTTAATATTTTTAAATACAATACTCGTATTATAGCTATAAAGATCAAAATATTTATATAGAACTATAAAAGACAATTTTTGACAAAAAATTAAGTTTATTACAAAAACACATGTATCTAATCTCAATGGCACCCTGGGTTTCTGGGTTTGCTGCGCCATATATTAACCAAAAAAAGAAATGTTTAACAAATAAAAAAAATTTTTTTAGAGAATAAATACTAATTTTTTATATATACGAATTTTTTTATAATGCACAAATTAGTTCATAAATTTTTCTAAATCACTAATTATTAGTACATTTTATTCAGTAAGCTTCAAAAATCGACAGAATGTCTTACGAATAACTATTTTTAGTCAGGTTAGGTTCTGTATCCATCTAATTAGGCTCCGTGAGACGTATATCTTGTAAGCAAATTCGTTTTATTAATCATTCACAAAAAAAGCGATAAATAAAATAAAATAAATAAAAGTAAATAAAAGCTGTTTTAACTTTTTAAACATTTTATAAGTGGAAACTATATTAGTATATTATAAATTAATCTTCATCAAACCAATATATATAAACAATATACCAAATATATAATGATAATAAACAATTACATGAAGTATATGAAATATATGATGTCCACAAACACAATTCCTATTGATTCATACAAAAAATGCTTATCATATTATTTTTATTAAATAATATCACACTTCAAATTGTATAATTCTCATTCAGTTGAAATGTACTCTTGCTTAAATATGATTTTATCTCATGATCAAAACGTACCATTATTTTAATGTAAGATGTGATGTAATAAAGTTTTATTTTGAAATAATTATATTGTAGTAGATATAAATCCATTTTCGTTCCAATCATAAAAATTTACTTAAAAGAGGACTTCTTAAACGCACACAATTTTCATACATCGATATACCAATATTTTAAACATATATACAAAATTAATTAAATCAAGAAGATGTCGGAGTCTAATATGTTTATTGGAATTATTTTTTCTAAAAAAATTTTATTCAAAACTCGTAATCTTTTGTTTTCAAATTTTGTTAAAGATAATTCTCTTAATTAAAAAAAATCTAGTTCTAATGCAACGATAAACTACATATTACTTTCTTACGTTAAGAAGCCAAATTTATAATTTAATAATGAAGAAAACGTTGATCCTGAAAAAATATTATTTTTATGTTAGAATTTTGCCACTGTATATAATTATACAGACGACCAGCTTAAGAAGACTTTTTCAGTCTGACGTCCATGTAAATATCTCTAAGCTACAAACGCCACTGTCTAACTCTTTGTTGGACAGCGTATGGATTCGCGATGCACAATTTGCAATTCTTGTTGTTATATAAGGGTCTTCATATCCGCCTGTGATTACTTACAGAATTTAACGGGTTGTGGTATTAAACCGTTAAAAAAATCATTTCTTAAAGATATTGCATATTTTTAGTATTTATTGTAAATAAATGTATATATGTATCATTTAACCTTAATACATGTATTATTTCTTAATAGAGAACAGCTTTGATTGTTCAGTCTACTAAATATAAAATAGGAAAGACCATTTCCCGCAAAATATGAGAATATAATTTGTGTTGAAATGGATAGCGAAATAGGCAGACATACAAATAGAAAAACATACAGGTAGTACTAACAACAGATAGAGCAATAGAAATAGAAGTGTGGCTACATCCAATTATCTACTTGAATTTGCTAAAATAATACATAGAATAATACATTAGGTATTTGATTATTATTCGATAATGTACATATATGATTATTATTCGATAATGTATGCAATGTATATTCAGTAGGTGTGAAAGGCGTGAGGTGAAAATTTCACGTAGTTCAGAGGACGTAGGCGTAGGCAACATCATGTAAGCTTTTAATCTACTTAACTCAATTTTATAGGATTTATACTGATTACGCACATTTATATAGTTATTTACATATTATTTTAATTATTATTACTACTATAATCTTGATATCCCATATTGAGTTTACCCAATAAATTAAAAAATATTCTTACTTGCCAAGCTCACTTATTTTTATTTATCAAAACTTCAATAAAAAATGCACTATTGTAAAAACATAAAAGTATAAAGTGCATATAAAAATAAACTGCAGTTATAGTGAATAATTTGCATTTTATTGTTTTACACTTCTGAAGATAACGGATATGCAAGTGACAAACAGTTTAATTGCGACAATGTTTACATAAAAATTCATATCAACTTGGAATATTTTCCTCACTTGTCTAATCAAAATTGTATGTATGTTATTTACGTGGATACATATATATGTATATATTTTATCACATTTGGATACAAACAATTCACTGACAGCCACCAACGTGCTGAAATGTCTTCAAATATTAGACTCAGTCAGACTCAGTTCCCTTATTCGTATTCAAAGACTGTGTCTGCCAATTTTGAAGACTGTTCGACTAATGCCAATTAAAGACTACAATTACATACAGTAGTTGCCTAAATAGGTTTAAAGACTACAATTGAACAAATTTTAATTTCAAATTTTATTACTTATTTATATTAATGTATGTATATCTTTTCAGGTATTGCCAAAATTTAGCGGAAGTTTCAATTAAGTAGTAAAGTCACTCACAGTTATGGCGCGTAATTTCGAATATTCACTTGGCGTAAATGAATTCAAATCGAAGGATCATCGTCTATGGCAGGCTTTAATCGGTGAATTTTTAGGTAAACATATATTTTATATAAAAATATATATTTAAATTCTTTAATATTGTTTTTTATATTTTATTTAGGAAATTTAATTCTAAACTTCTTTGCATGCGGTGCATGCACACAACCAGAAGATGGCACATTTAAGGCATTAGCATTTGGTTTGGGTGTTTTTATGGCCATCACTGTAAGTTAATTGACTACTGCTGTGATAATTATAAATCATAATTTTCATAATCAATTTTTCTTACTTTTTTTAATAGATTGTTGGACACCTTAGTGGTGGTCATGTTAACCCAGCTGTTACCATGGGCATGTTAGTAGCTGGTCGCATTAGTCTAGTGAGAGCTGTATTATATATCATATTCCAGTGTTTGGGTGCTATAGCAGGCACTGCAGCTGTTAGAGTAAGTCAGATAATAAAAACTCTAATATCGAAAAAATCCCTAATATCGAGGTTTCGAATAGTACTAAATTACAACAACAAACTGTTCGTAAATAATTTTTTGAGACTTCAAGCACTCTTAGTTGTAAATAAAATTCTTAATATCAATATTTGAAAATGATCTCAATGAAAATTTGGTTTACTTAAAGTTATCCTCTTGCTTTAATGAAATATAGTTTAAGTAAAACATAAAAAAACAAAAGAATATATATCTGAAATGACAATAATATTTTATTTATTTATAGCAAAAATTGCAAATACTGTATGATTTACCACGTAAATTTATTTAAGTTTAAAAATTAAAATCTATTAACTGCACTGAAAAACCAAATAAGAAAATAAAATAAAAAAGTGCCAGCTAGTAGCACTAATAAAGAAAACACATATTTCTAAATTTTACGAGAAGGTTGACTTGAATATTAGAAACGAACTTAAGCCCCACCTACTAGTGAGGATTTAATAGAATCTTTATATCTAAAATTCTTCTCAATAAAATGTTATTATGACCAATTTCTATTCTTTTCTAGAAATTGTTTTCTATATAAAAATTGTCAATGTTTTAAAATTTATTGACTTCTTTATTAAATTAGTATATAATAACAGCTAATCTTACAATTATTGAATTAGAATAATTTATACTGGGGGTCTTCAAAACGAACACCTCACTGCCGGAATTTTCGTAATAATTTCAAACTAAATTTTAAAAGAATAACTTTTCACTTTCATAATATTAAAATGATTTTTTTACTATTTTACTACAGACCCTCCTCGATGAGGCTTACTATAACGGTTTAGGTCATACAACACTTGCAGAAAATCTAACTGAACTACAAGGAGTTGGTATTGAGTTCTTTTTAGGTTTAGTTTTGGTGCTTACAGTTTTTGGAGCATGCGATTCAAATAAACCAGGTTTGATTCAATTTACTTTTTAAATCTTATTTATTGTATTTTTCTTTATTAACAATTTTTTAGACTCTCGTTTCACTGCTCCACTCGCTATTGGCATGTCGGTTACCCTTGGACATTTGGGAACAATACGTTATACTGGTGCCAGCATGAATCCTGCCAGAACATTTGGTACTGCTTTTGTTACCGATATTTGGGAATCTCATTGGATTTACTGGGTTGGTCCAATTGTTGGCGGTATTGCTGCTGCTCTTATATACACACAAATTTTAGAAACGCCAGCTCCACCAAAAATAAGTGAGGCATCAGAGAAATACAGGACTCATGCCGATGAACGTGAGGTGAGATTTAAATACTCATGGGATGATAGCCTCTTTTACTGAACACATTCCCAAAACACAAAAGTTTAATACTTTCAATTTAAACTTTTGTTGTTATGCACGCACACATTTGTACAAAATTATCAAAACACTTACACACACAAAATGTATATACAATTAAAGTCTATTTTAAGGCATCCATTCATTAACTTAAATTTTATAATCATAGATTTTAGTCTATTAAACGTGTAATCGTGTCTTTCTTAAAATACAGATGAAGAAATTGGAGAGCGGACATGAATACGCTTAAACTAAGCACAAGCCTTAAATTTGTGATAAAAATCAGAACATCACATATCTGCAGTGTCAGCCATCTAAGTTTACCGGACTTCCAACTGTTGGAAAATTGCACCATCCCATGATAATGATGTTGCCCCTTCGCAGGATCATTTACTAGTTCGATTTTTGTCATTATTTTGTATTTATGTTTTTGTTAAAATTATAATGCATTTAGATTTGTTAATTAAAATTTATTGTTTTCATTTTATTTATTTACGTATCCTTATTACAGTTTTTGTTATAAGATTTATGTTTAAATGTTTTTTACCACATACCAACATTTTGTTAATTTCAGCAAAATTAAAAAATAATATTATTTACATATTCATTTATACAATTTTGTACTATATTTGATTTTTTAAGAAAAAAATAATTTAAATATCGATCAAAGCGTTTTTAAGAACGTTCTTTTGTATTAAAAAATTGTATCAATTGTTTTCTTCATACTATTTATATCTTAAATATTCACTAAAATAATCAAATGTCTATATTTTAATAATAATATATATATATAAAATAAATTACTCCTATTTCTTATGCTAATAAAAATATATTACATCCAATTAAATTATTTTTTTCAAATTAGTGAGAAGGCTAAGTTGGAATAAAGTAAATACTAACAGTGATAATAGACTCCCAGTAAAGTAGACTATTGCAATTATAAGCAAATCAAAGACATTCAACTCTTTAAATAAAAACCAGAATGTGTTTCAGTTAAGGGTCATAAATCTTCTGACCTTTTTGGACTTATATCAAAATCAGACAGTTAGCAAAAATGTGTCTACAAGTCACAAAACATTTCCGGTACAAACGATATTTTGCTATGTCAGATAGACCACCATTGTTAAGGTGGTCATTAAGATGTCTGATAGGTAATCAAATATCAGTACTATTAAAAAAATTATCTAAAGGACACAAATAATAAAAGACATATAATTCAATTAGAAAACAGCTTTTACGTATATCGCCACTACCTATCACAGTGGTTCACATGACTAATCGCTTAATCCGCCAAAATTAAAAAAAACACTAAACAGTAAACTATTTAAATAAATTAATAAATACAATTTAATGAGAGAATAATCCATATTTCAGTTAAATGTGGTTTATGAAAAAGACACTGGGGTTTTATCTAAACTTTCAAAGTCTGTATATCTCAGATATCTATTTTATTAACATTGTGGGCCGATTGCACAATTGTAACTTAAGTGTCCATACTGACTTAAGTTATGCTTATGGGATTTACTTTGCTAACTATATTCATACATAATTCAACTGAACTCAGTTTTGAGAGTTAAGTATTATATTACTATAATACTGGAGTAGTAGGTAGGTTATACCATTGTATTACCGTATAGCTATAAGGCTCTTTCATAGCTATAAGTATAGCTATAAGGCACTTTCATCGTCCTCTCCTCAACTGCGCCGGTTATGATTGAAAGTAAGATTTAGTCTTCTAGCATAGTTACCTAAAATACAATGATCTGTAAGTTAACCTACTGTAAGATTGATATCTCTACGGGGCATCTCAAATGTGGAGTAATAGATATAGCTATTTTGAAAAAAAAAAATATGGAGCTGCTAGCCTTATACATATTTTAAATGTGGTAAGAAAAACGATATAATATTAGATATAAAATTATAAGAGATGTAATATTACTGATCTGCTGGAGTAGAATAGTTCATTTGATATTTTATTATTATTATAAGTTTTGTTTTTTTTTACAAATAAATTCAAATTTAAAGAAAACATTATAGAAAATAATTTTCAAACTGACAAATATATATATAAAATTTTTAATATTAATAATATAGAAGCACTTACCTGAAGTCCATGTCAATAACTTTTTTCTGACAAACTTGTACTGAAATTTAACAGTGTAGATAGCAGATTTGAGTAACAAAAAAATAATTGATAACAGCGATCCATATTATCTCTTGCGGTTTACAAGCGTCACTATATTAACAATCACTCAACATATATGTTTATTTTTTTAATTAAAATTATTGATTTATTCTTTATTATTTCAATAAAATTAAAAATTATTTTTGAAATTATATTTTATATATAATTTGTTTGGATTTATAAATGATCAATTATTAGTAACATATAATTAATTTATTTTGGTTTCCATTTGGAGAAACGTTACTGGGTGGCAACGTTTCTTTTCCACTTATAAGTTTCTTGCATAACTGTTATTTAAAAAATGTTTATTTTAAAATTAACATTATTATTTTTGTCTCAATAAATTAATATTATTATCATTTATTATCGCAACTTCTAATTCTGCAATTAATAAATTTATACATTTTTATTTAAATTATTTTGTTACAGTTTCGGCCGCCATTAACGTTAAAAATGGCTGCGTTGTTGTGTCCCGAAACTATAAATTCATAAATCACCACTTTTGGTGCAAATAATTGTTTTTTTTTTCTTATATTTCATTATATTATTTATAATTATAAGTACTTCACAAAATTTCTTCATAATAATTATATTATTTTTATACATTTCAACATTTTTTTATTGTTATGGAACGGATGCCGACACCGCACGCTTGCGAAAGCAACTACATCTACATATTAATTCATCTTAGCGTAATTATTTTTTATATGAATTTTTTATAATTTCTTCAACTTGATTTGCAAATTATACAAACGCATACATTACATATTCACTTTTGTCTGTTTTAAAACGAAATTTGAAAATTTTTGTTATTTAAAACCGTCGTGTCTTGATTTGCCAAATTCCTTCAACTGTCAAACCAATGTGCATTCACAATAGTATTCAAAACATCTGATTTCTTTTAAAACCCAAAATGAAAAAACAAAAAGAAAAAAAGCAACAGCTGCTTTGACAGATGTTTTTTAAGTGTAAATATATTTAGTTTTTATTTTATTTTGGAGTTGCGTTTTATTTTACTATTTGTAATGAAAATTTATTTGATATTATTTGAATTTTAGAAAATGTTAAATTTGTTTGTAAAGCCGCGATTAGCTGGTCTAATAAATGCGTGAGTTTATATAATAATTAATTTAAGTGAAAATATTGATAATGTTATTTGTAGTGTACGGAAATTCTCTAATCGACAAACTTATTATGATGTATTAGAATTAAATAAGAAATGCAGTAATCAAGATATAAAAAATGCGTTTGTAAAACTTTCAAAAAAGGTAAATAAATAAAATAATTGAAATCTCAAGCCGGCGAGCTTGTGTTTATTTACGTAAATATATTTGTTTTCTTGTCTATGGAATCGTAAAAAATTTTTCTGTTGATGTTATGAAACAATAAAGTCTAATAGGGTTGCCAAGCTTTTCAATAAATCTTAATTCAATAAACTTCCTATTTTAACGAGACAAGCAATATTCATTAGACATAAATAACAATGAATATATTGCATATAATTTATTCAAATTTAATAAAAATATTAACTTCAAAAACATAAATTGTATGTGAAATGTATTTTTGTATTAAATATTGGACAATTTATGTAGTTTTAATCCTTTCTACTTGAAGAGTAGAAATAGAGTAGATAAAACTTATGGGTTTTTTATGGATACAATTCGATTTAATAGGTGTTCTTCAATATATAATTAATAAAATTAAATTCATAAGTGCTATTATAGATTTTATTAATAATTTCTTGCGCGCTTGTGAAAAGAAGTGCGAGGTGGTTTCTTCAGAGAAACCAAAGCTCTTTGTAATTGCTTAAAGTCGGGAACAATTATCTAGAATATGTTAATACAAGAATGTATTCTTGTTAATACAAGCATGTTTTAAAAATGGTTATTTGGTTTTTATTGACATATTTAGTTTTTATTAAATTAAAATTCAGTTTATATCAGTATGGAATATCCATATCACATATATAGCGGTAATTTGTTTTGCTTAAGTATAGCTCTTAAGTCCTTGTATGAACGATGGCCTATATAAAAATATATAAATTCTTATTATTTCAAACTTACGAGCGGTGCCATAAAATTCTATTAAATTATTATTAGCACTGACGCATCGCTCAAAATAAAAATTGGCTTATGATAGCTATTTGTGCATTTAGTTTGTGAGACTAATTGACCTCTAACCTTGTTTACAGTGATATTTTGAAGCTTTATAAAATCAAACACAAACTGTTATAATTATTTTTACATTTATTTCTATTTGGCAGGTTTTGTTGTTAAAACTTTCTTCACTTTTTTCTTATTTTTATTTGGTGCTAGTGAAAATATTTTTCTAAATTTCTTCCTTACAAAATTCACAAACTTCTGACCTGGTCCAACATCTGTTCCTGGTGCAATACCTCCATCAGCTGTGGTAGTTATTGTGCCAGAATCATCATCCTCAGTAACTATGTCTTTGGCTTGTACTCTTAGAATACAAAATCCCAAAACTAAAAATGCTAGAAACATAAAACTTACTTTCATTTTTAAATAAATTATTTATTTAATTTTAATTTAACAGTTTAACGCTTTTATAGTGAATTTAAAAGAAAAAATTCTCAATGCTATTTTTTTCCCACAATTGTGTTCTAAATTTGCGCAGCTGATATAGAAAACATTCACAAAATATATTTAATAAATATTTACTAATGTTTTAATTTTTATAAACTTGACATAATTAAGTTCAACGAAACTATTTTAATTATTGACATTGAATGTTTTTTTCAGTTTCACCCTGACGTGAAAGGTGCCGAATCGGACCCTAAGCAAACTGCACAATTTGTTAAAATCTCAGAGGCTTATCAGACGTTAAGTAAACCAAATCTTCGCCGTGCATACGACCAAAAAATCTCATACCAAAACTCCTACGGAAATCGTAGTTACTCATATGACACCGTTACCACCGAAGTACATGAGTAAGTATATGTATATGTATATTTATATATATATATATGCATATCTATGATTCTCTTTCAACAGATCTTGGAAAATTAAGCCTGATTTTAATCCAAACCCAGACCCTAATGCTTATTATGGTGTCCCTGGTTGGAAGCGCATATCAAACTCAACAATTGGACTTTTACTCATTGGCTTAGGTATTTTTGGTGCTGTTTTCGGATATGTGTCTGTAAAGTAGGTGGTCTTACATTAGTGTATGCCAGTGTTTACACTATATTACAATTTTGTTTTTCTTTTTTAACAGAATATATTATTATTTTAGACACTCCTTCACGTTCGACCGTAAACAACTAGACGAGGTGTCAGCAGAAGCTAGTCAACATCATGCAAATGTGCGCGCTGACGCCCAAAAGTTTGGCAACGATGAACAACTGCGCCGAATGATGAAGAAGTTGCAAAATTGAGAGCGAGACCACTAATGCGGCTTTCAAATATGTTCCGAGGTCTTTCGAAGAAACTAAAAATCTTATATTTTGTAATATGTTTTATTGTGATCGCGAATATTAAAATTGTGATAAAAAAGGTGTAATGAACATTCTTGGCACAAACCTGGAAATAACGTTAGATTCAAATTTAAAAAAAAATTATTATTGGATTAGAATTGTCGAAATTACTTTCATAAAGTATGGAGATATATTTTATATTCAGGAATAAAATAAAAATTTAAAGCGCAAAATTTGTCTTTAAACATTCGATCACCTAAACACATAGTTTTTTATAAAATACTTCTACCGGTAATACTCATCGACTAGGATATATGTTTAATTGTATGTTTAAATAAGATGAAATTGCTGTATAGATCTCTACCGTTTCACGCTTTGAAACATTAAAAATATATTTATATGTATAATATGAAATATAATATTACTATTGACATTTCATAAAATTCTAAGAGATTTTGTTTATCTAGAAATCTGGGTAAACCCCAAAAATGACATCGGTTTAGAGTTACATTTAAGAATCACTCTCGTAATGTCAATAGATGGTACTTAAGCCATTATGTAATTGAGGAATAAAGCTCTCTATCGACTTATAAATATCTAAATGTGGTTCTTGAAGTCACATCTAAGGCAAAAGACTTAAATGATTTTTAAATGTACTCGGTACAACCAAGTAGCGACAACAAACTGCGAATTGATCTGACTAGCAAATGCTATTGGACCCGTTTACAGATGATAAACGTATTTAAAGGCCAACTAAGTATGAAAGTAAGTATTATTACAAAGAATTGAAAATAATTCTTATTAAACTATTTAATGTAAAGAATATATTAATAAAGTTTCTATAGTTCCAGGGATTTGATATTGCACCAAATCACTACATATTATAAAAGTTCGGTACTAAGACAAAACAATTTTTTTAAAAAATGTCATTAAGAGCAATCAATATACTATTATCATAAATAAGATCATCAATATCGATTCATTTTACATATAAATTATTTAATTAATCATTTATGTTGTAAGAAAAATTTAAAATTTAGAAATGTATATAAAACCTTAAATGTGTTTAACATGAAAAAAAAAATATAAGTTCTAGGAAGTAGATCACCTTATGTATCACAGAATGAACATTTTAATTAATAAATATATAGCATAATAACATTATATATAATTTTGAGATATTAGTAATTACTGACTGATATTTTGTTTTAGTACCTAAATATTCTACTCTACTGTAGTAGAATTTAATTTAATTATGATTTTGTGATAAATAATATTTCGTTAAGCATTGATTATACATATTATGTAAATACATACATATTATATAAATAAATACATAAACCAATTCGCTAATCATAAATTAAAATTATACTATATGAAAATTAAAATAAAGGGAAAAAAATCTGTCAGTATCTGTTATTAATGTCTGAAGTTTAATTATAACATATTTATTTTTTATTGTATTAAATATTTATTAACTTAAAATATTTGATTTGGATAGTGTTATATGTATTTATATACCTTCTTACTCATATAAATAATTTAAACAGTGGTCAATATTATTTATACTAAACAGACTAACTATGATATTTATTTATTTTTTTTTTATGAAAGAACTAATTTTATTTTTATAGCAAAAAAAAAAAAAAATTAAATGCTAGCACCAAGTTAAAGAGTTAAGGATTGATCATGTTTTTATATAATCAAATAAAATTTAAAATAAAGAGTTGAAGCTAAAATAAATTGTTTATAATACTTTTACTAAAAGACAGAAATAGAAGAGATCTCTCTATATTGAATTATACAATAATTACTGACTTTTCGTCTATTGAAGAGCAGGTGGTCAGCATGGGCATTCCTTATAATAGAAAACTATATCACATTTTCTTTGTTCTGTTCATAGGGAGCAGACATCAGAGGTTAGTTGCCCTACATTCTGAATGCACATTTCGTACAGAATTCCATGTTCATTCTTGTAAAGCTTTCATCTAAGTTATTATTTGAATAAAGAATTTTTTTTTATTAAGATTATAATATGATTATATCCAAGTTCAGTTTATGGCAAGTTTTGCAGATATAGAGATAAAATTAGTTTCCCTGGTTGTGTGAGTGAGATATCTTTACTGTATTCAACGAATTTATAATAAAAACTATGAATAGATAGAATCCTTAACTTGATCCTTATATGCGACATCATTCCTATTATATTGATCGACATTAAGCAGAAATATTAGAGATACTTTTGCGATAAAAGTATGGAAAGTATAAATAAAGCAATTTAGGCATGCAAGCTTTATTATCATATGTATAAAATACCCAATTATTTATTATTGCATTTAATGTCGATTAATTAAATTTCATCTAAATCGCTTTTATTTATAATAGAGTCTAGAAACCTGATCAAAGCAGGGCCCATTTGTAAAATTATTCTTCTAGAAAAAATGATAACAAAGAAAAAACATAGGCTATTCAAATAAATTACCTAAAAAAGATCGGAATAATATAAAATATATAAGGGAATCATTACATCTAATTACAGAGAATCTGGTAATCTCTTTCTAACTGTTACATACAACAACTGTATGCGCATAATTATGTCTTACTCTCTTGCTATCGATCTATAATATATAGATAACACCCTTATCTATTATAATCATTATGAAATATTAAATATTGCTTCTAACATACTTTCAGTGAACCTGAAAGCTTCTTTGGCTACATCCATGTTATTCAACTATAAAAATCTAACATTCATTAAATAATTAATTAATTAATAAAATTCATCATTAAACAACAAAAATCTTTTAATTATTTAGTTCAATTTAAATTTATTTCAATTTATACATAATTCCGTATATAATAGTATTAACAATGATTTAAATAGTATATATATCAAAAGAAATAAAATTGTACGTATAAAAATTTTAATTTAATTAATTAAAATAAATCTAATTAATTTAAAAATATACAAATAATTGGTGGTTTATTTTCAATTTCTAACTGATTTTGATAAAAAAGAAAATATGTTTAATATGTAATTTTTATGATTATAAATTTAAAAATATAAATTTAAAATATTTACAATAAAGCGAAAAAGCTTAAAAAAGCTTCAAAGCATTTTGCACAGTTTGAAACTTATTAGAGTGTAAGTTTTATTTCCTGTATAAGTACTAAGAGCTTTAAGCTTTTAAGAAAAAATTTAATATTTAATTTTTATACACTCAAAATACAAATTGTCTACTTTTTACAACTAAACATAAAATCACATTTTTCTAACACAAGATTTAGATTTAAAATTTTTACACTAATTGCCTAGTCGTCTGGTACCAACAAATCGCATCCAACATTACATGAAGTTTTTGTACTGATCATTTATAGTGTGGATTTGGTGGTTTCGCTGATATCTTTGACTAAGATACGTGCGGCGACATGTGGAGCTGCCGGTGCCAATACAACTTGTCCGTTAACCTTGTAATCGGCGTAGTTTAATCGGTACACATCGTGAAAACCCAACTTTTCCATAACACGTGCCGAATAATGACTTGAACATAATACATGGAAGATTTTTATGTTATGCTCATGCATGTAATTCATTGTGTGTTCTGTCAACCTTCCTGCAATGCCTAAACCACGACAATTTGTATCCACGGAAAGTATTTTACCATCTAGTATAACATCTACTGATGGAAATAAATCAAATAAGTTAAATTCTTCCTCAATATAATCCATCATTGCAAGTATTTTTCTAAATTTTGGATGTTCACAACCTTCAGCTGATTTTTCAGGTACTGCGTCTGGTGCCTATAGAATAATTAATATTACTGAATGTGGTAGTTGTAGTTTAGCTTTATATTACTTACTGGTCGTTTAAGTAATCCATTTAGAAAAACTCCTAATATTTTGCCATTTTTATCTACTGCCTTAAATGAGCAATCGTCTTTAATGCATTTTAAGGAATATTCCTCCAATTCTTTGCATTCACCCAAGTTAAGGAATGTATTCAGTGGCTCATCCTGAAAGAGAAAAGTATGATTATATTGAATGAAAAATGTTCAATATAGATTCAAAAAAAAAAAACGAAAACGTGAAAAAGTGAAAAAAATCATACATATCTCAATTATGATGGATCTAATGTCATCTAAGCATTTGAGGAATAAGAGGAAAAAGTGGATGAAAAATGATGGGAAATTTTTAGGAGTTCAAATTTCTTCCTACATAATTTATTATCCCACTAAGATAAAATAATAAATTTAACGTAAACTTAAATGGTATGTAAATAATTTGAGTCCAATCTTACCTTTTCGGATAAGAGAATAGTGAATGGGGTATTTAAACTTGGTTAATAATATATATATTTAAGTATGTAAATATATTTAATGAACTTTCTTCAGAAAATTCCCTTACCCTTCTTGTAAGAGACTACAAGAGCTTTTTATTTTTTTAATAAAGGAATGTTTTTATATTTATTAATCTTCTATTGGATATATGAAGGTGTAAAGAGATATAGCAAATTCAATAGATGTAGGCTTTATCTCAGTTTCAAATTAATGGATCTACGTATAAAATAGAATATATACGTCAAGCAACTAGAACGATATATCCCAGAGATAAATAGCAAAGAATGGAACAACTGATTAGTGTTTCTCGACACTCACAGTTTAATACAGTCTTACCAACTAAATATTGTCTTATAGGCAGGCATGCTGATCAATTGAGTGTTACTCAAAAAGAGTTCTCATAGTTGTAAGTCTGGAAACGAATATGAAAACATAACTCTGTCACCATTCGGCATAGGATAAAACTTTATCCTTTATACAATTTATCAACTCTAGGTATTTCCTTCTTCAACTGTTTGTCCAATATTATTAGTATAAGTATTAAATGTAACTTTATGCAGCAAGGACTGTAGACTGCTAATAGTACGATCACTAGACACACCAATTTTGCCAAGTATCGCTTTCATTTTGACCTAGTTGAAAATAACTTAATTCTTTAGATGTCGATGAAACCATGAACATGATGAAACTGTGGTCTTGTGAACATAGACTTGAAGTTCTCGTATCTAATGTTCTAAGTAGCTTAAATTTTAGCTCCTTGCCTCTTTTAAATGTTTTCCAAGCCGAGAATTTTTGTAAATAATCGGAATGAGACTTATAGTACAATAGATAGATCTTCACTATTGAAAAAAAATGGACTTTAAGGATATGGTTTTATCAAACTGATACAAAAAGTTTCGCGGCCTGAAGTATGCAATTGGTTTACTTTAGTTTCTTAAAGCAGTTAATCGCCTTCGAGTCTTAAGTTACCCGCGTCTTTTTGTGGGATAGGTTGCCATTTACCTAATCTAAATCAGAACTTCGGAATTCTGGAACTCTAGAACACTGAAATTCTTATAGAGTTAATTTAAACATTTTTTGGTTTGTTTAAGAAATCGTATGACATATTGGATATCATTGATATATACTCGCCTAATTTTTAATATTTTAATCATTTAATAAATTTTACTCGTGATTCTAAGAAAGTTTTTAACATGTCTGTGCAATGTATATTTTACTTTGTATTTAAAAGTACTTACATTATACGAGTATCAATAAATTATATAAAAATACTTCATTCAAAAGCTTCAATATAATTTACTATCTTAATTTTGTTTTAAAATCTACGTCATTACAAAAAGTTCATTGATCACCAACAACTAATCGAGTAGTGATAATAATAGTAGGAGTACTAGCGTAATTTACTATCTTCATATAAAAATAGTACTTAAATATTACAGCATTTCTACAATGTTTAGTAAATATTTCTATTTTAATCACTTAATTAACATTTTAATAGCTCCACAGAATTTTAAATAAAACGTGATAACACAAATGAAATTATAAACCTGAATTTTGGTATTAATTTAAATAATTGATTTGCTTCGGAATTATTTAATAAATTTTTTTCCGCTTTAGCTCCTCCCCAGCCAACATTTAAGAATATTAAAATTGCATAAAATTATATTATCGATAAAAATTTGTAACTAGTAATTATGTTCATGTAATGATTAAGTAATTACAGTTTCCCTCGTACACGTTCATTAGTTATCTGAGATTAAAAACATCATGGCATTTTGTATCTTTTCGCGCATTTTATATCTTTCAACGTTGAATGTTGCCTAAGTGTTCACCAGATGTTTGAAATGCTAATTTGCTAAATGCATTTAATTCTGCGTTTGACTTGAGTTTGATTTACGATATCGCAAGTAATTGAATTTTATTAACTATTATTTAATAATATTAAATTATAATATAAATTTATTGGGACTTGAAATATTTTGTGACATTTTGGAAAATTATTAAGTATTATTGTCAATGAGGTTGTTATTCAAAGCAGTTAATAAAATAGAATTACCTTAAAAGTTTTATAACCTAATATCGTGTTTCCACTCCAGCTAAAACTACTTATATTAATGAAATTTGACTGTTTCCATTGGCATGAGTTGATTTATGCATGTGAAATAGCTTGTTTGTTTACATTTCAAATATAAAATACACGATAAATATATGTGGAAAATTTTGTAGAATATTTTTCGTCTTAAATCTGTTGATTTATTTATAATGAGCTCATTTATATGAAAATTCTTTGTATGGTAAATTATCCTTATTAACGACTTTAATGGAAAAAGCTGCGTAAATGAGCTGAGTGGAAACATGGTATAAAGCAGTAATAAAGATATAGAATCTCTTGTAACTTGAGTTACAGTAAAAAAAATGAATGACTGATATGAAAATGAATGACTGAAAAAATGAATGAAATATTTAGGACGTGTGCGAGTTAGACTAAATTGCGTCCTAAATAAGGGAAATTCTAGGTTGTGCCGATAATGTAGTGATGTGTCGATGCGTGTTGATAAATGGCTAAATGTCTGCAGTGCAAAAAATCAGAAAAAATCTCCCATTTGGTTTAACATCAACTTAGCCTAACTCGCACACGTCCTAAATATTTAATATTACGTGCTTCAAGCAATTTTTCCTACTAATCAAGTGACTTTGGAAACCATGTCACTTGCTTGGAAATATGGTGTCCTTGTCATTATTATGAAATAATTAAATTTGGCGATATCCGTCTTTACGTCTGTCAGCTGGGATATTGTTAGTGTTGTTTACTCTAATAAAGTTAATCAAATTGTACTTCATACATATTCAGTTTTTTACACCCCATGCTTTTAAATATATTCATTTTGACAACAAAAGTAATGTAAATAACTATTATTATTAATAAAAAATATGGCATTAGAAGATAATAATATATACATTAAAAAAACTACTAACTTGATATTCCTGTAGGAATGAATATAGGAACTGCAGATCACGGAAAGACTAGACCATCTTTCATATTTCTATCCAGCTTTCTCGAAAACTCGAATAAAGTATTTTGGAGTTACCAAATATTAGACTGTACTCTCTCTTAAAATTCGCTTGTAACATATACATCCTATTAGAACTATCTAAAACACGAAAGCGTCAAGAAGTCTAGTACCTAGAAAAATACACTAGGTCGTATAGTCAGGTACACACAGTAAAGACAAGAGTGTACTGGAAAAAGATACTAGGTCGTATAGTCAAAAAAGCACAGAAAAGGCACGAGACTTCTGGAAAAAGATACTAGGTCGCATAGTTAGAAAAGTTAGAAAAGGTTTCTGCCAATTGGCATAAGGACTTTCAAGAAAGGTCTTACAATATTGCCTACAATTTTGATATAACAAATATTTCAAAGAAAAATTTGTCAATTATGCTTCTAACAACGATACATACAACGAGATATGCCGAAGGTACACATTCAATCGTGATAGATATAATGATATACTAGAGTATTAGCAAACTCGATATAATGAATGACCTGATATCTATATTGGGGAAAAATACTTTGAAGAAACGAACATTGCGTTTATATTTGAATTTTTCTATGTGTACCGTGATTGATGTTAGTGAGTATTATCTATAGAGAACACCATCCTTAATCCATGTGAAATAAATAATAGAAATAGTGCTTGGCTAATGTGTTACGTTAGTACCAGAGACAGCAGTTGGTCCTAAAATATATTATAGTAGTCGTGAAACCACCACCGTTGTTTCTAGGGCCTTCAAATTGTTTTTAAGAACTGTTTTGAAACCACATCAGATTGAAAAGTCCTGCTTGGTTTAGTAGGTGATTTATCAATACCAAATAAACTATATCGTTCATAAAGCTTTTATTTATTATTTTTCATTTATATTTTATTATTTATTTATTTTCTATTTTATTTTTTTATTTATTTCCTTGTATATGGATTAAATGGGAAATATTGTCGCTTTTAGTGGATTAGAAATCTACTTGACCATCCATGTTGTAAGGCAATAAAATCTTGTTCATTTAATCGTCTACAGATGTCACGAAATAATAGATCTAAATTGTATTCAGGGAAATATAATTGTGGCAAAATTAAAATATAAAAGGTGCAATTGTACTTTAGACGTCGTTTTTTTTCTTCCTTTATTATCAAATATAAAGTGGACCATGACACCAATTCCATCTGTTATGGACTTTAAAAGAACTTGAAGGCAACAAGAGAACGAAATTTTGTCCAAATATTCATTTAATGATGTCACCAACCTACTGTGACCAACCTAGGTATATTGTGTTTGGAAAAGAGAATTATTACAAAATTCAAATATAAAAGGTGTATTACTAGTACTTCAATCGATAAAGAAGGGTTAAGTATATTCCATTATATCACGACTTACGACTAAAGGTTGATTGTTTTTGTTCTTGTATTTTTTAAAAAGTTTGCTAAAAACTTTAAATTCATATCATTCATACTATTCGTTAAACTATGTTCACCTTGAAGTGAAATCAATATTCTAGATCATTATTCTCACGACAAAGAGCTGTTGTCTTTTTCAAAACGAATTGCTCTTATTGATCTGGAATACTTTTGCCATTAACCTAAACCATTAACCATTATTTATCAGTAGTTGTTCTCGTTCAGTAGTTTTTTTAAATAACCGCCCTATCTTGAAATACTTATTAAAAAAAATTAATATTATTCTAATGGTGCAAGTATATTTAATTAATTTAATTTAAATAATTTAAAGTTTATATTGTAGTGAAACTTCATAGTTGCTTTGGTCGACTAAATTAAATTACATATGAAGTTAATATGAAACATTAGTCGATCGAATGCATCGCATTTGCATAATGATTTAATTGGTTCCGACCTGTCTGTAAAATAATTTGTAATGCCTGAATGATTTGAGGCGCACGCCTAATGTATTCGCAAAGCTAATAAAGCTGACAGCGATTTCCATTAATAAATAAAAGATTAATATTAATGATAAAAATAATGGTTAGCTTTTAAAATGGTCTCAAGTCAATGTGCAGGTTAATATGCGAACATTAATTCAATACAAATTACCAGTCCATTTATCGCTTAAATGGACTTTTATGGCAAAACATTAAATTTAATATTTTTTTAAATACAAATTTAATAGTAGAGTTTATATATTTGTTTATTTCTTGAATAATTCGATTTAATTTATATCGAATTATTAAAAAAATGTATTAAAATGTTTGACATAACATTTATGTGTTATTATAGGTCGTGAAAACTTATCTGTGGTCAGTATTATTCTTCAAGTTAATTATTTGTTTATTGATCACGAATCATTTTTTTAATAAAATACAATCGTTTTAAACAATTTTATTATTAATGTTACGTGTTTAAGTAAAGTTCATTTACTTCGTTTAAATTTTTTATCTGTAGTAAATGAATGAACTCATTTGGAACTCTTGGCTGATATTGGAACATTAGCAAATACACTCAATCTTTTTATTGTTTAATAAGTTAAAAAAAAATTATTCCTTAGATGCTCAAAAATTAGAGCTACCTTATATTTTGTAAAGTCAAATTTATTAAATATTAATAATTTAATAAAATTAATTAATAATTTAGTTAAAATTTTTAGACATTCCTATTTAGAGGAGTTTCAATTTGGAACACTTACTCTAGTTATATATCATTTATTTATTGATAGAGAATCTGATACCAATAATCACTGTAAAGAAAACAACACTTGAATAATAAATGCACTGAAACTAGTGAATGATGAATATAGGCTGTATTACTTGTAAATATGGTATTACATCAAAAATGGTATAAGGGAAAGCATAAATCTATTCCAATACCTAGGTATTTAATCTTAACATTCTCATTATATATATTAATACTTAAAGTGATAATGACATGCTTTATTATTATTATTATTATTACCATATTGATAGCGATTATAAAAATACAGACATATCCCTACATCCCATTTCGATACCATTACAAAATTAGTCTTAAAGAAACACCTAACATATGATACCCATCATATAAAAGAAAATATAAGTCCTTGTAACCTGGTATTATGATTAAGTCCCTGAAGACTTAAACAAAAAAAACAAATAATGTAATAATTTTATAAAATTTTAATATAACATTGAAATTAAGAAAATATGCTTAATAGCAGAAGTGAAGATATCATCTTCATTAAAAAAAATCTGGAAATATTGTACTAATGCTCGCGAGTTCAATATTATAACTTAGTTCAACATAGTTATTTTCCTCACAAGATTTGAGGATGATCTGTTACCCAGTCTATTCACATAAGCTGTTTGTGCCATTCTATTTTTAACTATTCGGCGATGTTACAAAGTCATTGTTTTGCAAGTCATTGTTTTGCAAGACATTGCAATATAAGACTAAATCTTTGCGATCGACTTGGGACCGTACTCATTTTATATGGTACGTGGTAATTTTATAAAATTATCACTTAAAAAAGGCGTTTTATAAAATTGGAGTTAACGGGTATATCTTAATGAAGTTAAGAAAAGAGTCTGGATAAGTCCCGTTCGGCCTTCGCAGCTCTCAACTTGATAAGTGAAGCTCGCAATCACACGTATTCGTCTTGGTCTTTTAAATTAATTATTAGCATATATGCATATAATAATGATCTTTATATCGTAATTATTTTTTTTTGTATATATTTATAAAGTTTTTTAAGCAGTTGTAAGTAAAAGGAGTTCGTTCGTCTTGGTCTTTTAAATTAATTATTAGCATATATGCATATAATAATGATCTTTATATCGTAATTATTTTTTTTTGTATATATTTATAAAGTTTTTTAAGCAGTTGTAAGTAAAAGGAGAATGGTTTTTGTGAAGGATTTCATTAAGGCTTACAAACAATTTATTTATCACGACTAAACAAATATTTTCCAATGTTTTTATATGTATCGATTAAATTTAAAAAACAAACAAAAAATATAATTAATTTTAATACAATTAATAAAAACTTAAGCAAACTAAGAACAGCAAGTTTATGATAAATTCTTCTGGTTTAATTAAAGCAAGTACTCGTACTCGTATTCGTTATCGTATATCGTGACTCCATACAAAGTGTATGCAAAGTACCATGAAAGTGCATAAGTTGAGATTATTTACACTTGTATCAGAACGGAGGAATAAAGAAGGTGTGTTTGTTCGTAAATATATTTACTGCAAATATTATATTATATTTTTATTTTATAAAATATTTAAGATATCAACTACAGAATAATCTCACAAATTTAAGATCACGACTTGTTTTTTTTTTAAATTTTTTTTCTTGATTTGGTTTTAATTTTTTGAATTTTTCTTCCTTGACATTTCTGTTCAGGAAGCATACGTCTAGAGTCTAGACACAATGCAAGTGCTGCATGCAAGTCCCCATTGCAGCACTTGCTGAATGCATTGCTGCATGTAGCACTGCTGCACTACACTACCGCCTCTGATTCAAGATTATAAAATCACGAAAAGTTTTTTTTCTACTTGCAGTTGCAGAGCAGATAATGCTCAACTCTGCCTTGTAACTGTTCGCCTTAATTGAATGCTTCGATCAATTAATTGAAATTCGATACGGAGACTTCGTGTGAAGTGTTTAAGATAAATTATTTAAATAAAAAATTAAAAGAATGTTTTTTTTTAGGTTTTGTTTGAAGTGTTTTGCACTAAATAATTTATTCCGTTTTTTTTATATACAGTGTTTAAGTCATAGTTTAAAATGCCAAGAAATTGCTGCTAATTAATTTTTTACCTTGTTGGGTGGTTTAACATTAAAAAGCTTTACGATAAAATATTTTGCAATTTTAATATGAAAAAAAAGAATTACATTAACTAAAACTAATAAAAAAATTTGTTTTATTCAAGAAATGCAATATTATAATTTTCGTCGATGTCTTTCAACGTCGGACATGGCACCTATGCAAATGCAGTTGTTAATGGAACAATAAGAAATGCACAATAGGTCTATTCTGGTCTCTATCTGGTCTGGTCTCTCTAACTATTCTGGTTCTTGATCTGAATTAATAATAACAATATATGTATATAGTTAAATAGTAATGCTATAGTAAGTTTTCTTTCACCATAACTAAACTAAAAAAGTCAAAGCTCTTAAGTCCTTTACAATTCTGAGTCAAACTTTTTAATCTAAATATATTATACTACAAAAAAGCATCAAAGAACACTATTAATTTATATGTCAATATCCTCTATTTTTTCTATTGATTTTTGTGATGATTATAGGTATTATAAAAATGGTATCTAATAATAATATTTTTGTAATTTCCGGTCAATTGTAAATGGAAGAAGAATTAATCGAAGTGTTGTATGTCTAACATTTATGTTTATTTTCATAAAGTAATTTCGTTAAGTTCCATAATATAAATAAATGTATCTAATATTTCAATATATAATATTTTAAACTTACTTTAAAGAAGAACTTCTTAAGCATTGTTAGAACTTCTTCCGCATCTTTGGGTTTGATCAGTTCTATAGTATAGGAGCTATCTTCAATTTTTTGTGTGCCATTAGTTGTAGTTGTTGGTGTAGTTGTTGTTGTTGTAGACGACACTTTTAATGCGCTATCCATTTTTTTAGTCAGCCGTGCGATGGGATACAAATCTGAAATCTTAATAGAAATAAACAAAAAGCATTAAATAAACAAATTTATTAAATGAAGGAAGCTAATGTCAGACATTTTATTTCATTTTCAAAGTAGACATTTAAAAATATTTCGAATAGATCAAAGAATTTTAATTAAAAAAACATGTGAGCTGTGATAAATGTTTTATTTTTCACATTTTAATTTTGTTTGTTTTTTGTCTGATATAAACATTTTTTTTTCATGAATTTTTAAATAAAAATTTTATATTTTGCGTTTTCCAATTATTATTTGATATATACAAATTAGAAAATGTTACGCACAATTTTCTAACATAAGTGGAGATTATTTTAATGACATTTAATTTTGTTTTATTATGAAATAAATTCAGTCTCTACTATTATAATTTATTGCTCTATCTTTGAAAAAAAATTATTTTTTGTGGCTATTTTGCAAAATAAAAAAGAGGAAAAAACGCGTATACGTCTATATATCAATAATTATAAATTTTATTTTTACATATATTACAATTTTTTATTATCTTATAAATGAATTCCAAAATAATACTACCTTAATTTAACTAATTTAGTGTCATAGGTTATATATAACACCAAAAATACAGGAAAAAAGAGGAATGAATGTCTATATAAATATACGTATATATTTTATTTTTACATATATCATAATTATTTGTTATGTTATGAATGAATTTCATTATAATGTTAATTAAACTAATTTAGTGTCACTTGTTATATATAATACAAAAAAAAGAGGAATGAATGTCTATATATGTTAACTATACATATATATTTTATTTTTACATATATCATAATTAATTATTATGTTATAAATAATTTCATATAAATATAAATAATTTTTATAAATGAATTTCAAAATAATACTACTTTAATTAAACCCATTTAGTGCCATTTGTTATATATAACACTAAAAAATGTTAACATTAAAAAAAAGAAAAAAGAGGAATGTAAGTCTATATATCTATACATATATATTTTATTTCTACATATATTAAAATTATTCATTGTATTATAATTGAATTCCAAAATAATACTGATTTGACTGAATTAAATTCTAATTAAACTAAACTTGATTAACTTAAGCTCAATACTTATGAATGAAATGGTTGATTCAGATTTATAATATTTAAATTGTAAAATTATTCCCAAAAGAACTGGTTGAATATAAATAAAATCCCAATAAAATTCTTGAGTGTAATAAATATAAAATTAAATTAATCTAAAACAAATATATTTGTCACCTAAAAAAATCCCTGGATATAGAATAAAAATAAATGTTTCTCTACGAATTTAAATATAAAAGTGTTTTAATTAAGATAATGTCAAGGTAATAAAAAAAGAATCGTTTAAGAATTGTATATATACAAAAAAAAAATTTTTATTAATAATATCAGCAGATGTGGTTGTAGTCACGTTATGATTAAATTATCCGAAAATTTACAAAATTTAATTTTTGGTATTAATCATCCATTACATGTGCTTTTAAATGAATTTATAGGTAAGATTAAGTGAACATATTTATTGGCTAGGTAGTAATATACATATATTTATATTAATATTAATAAAAAAAATCAAAATACATATAAACATAATTTGATATAAAAAAAAACTAATTAGTCTAAAATATACATTGGGTTGTTCGCATAATAATCTTTTTTCCTAATGAAGGACTTAAGTGTCTTTTTTTACAGACAACTTTACTCTTACACCATTATAATCATAATTATCATAATTATTATAATCATAATTATTATAATGATAATAATAATCATATAATCATTATATATTTTTATAGCTTACATAGTAAGACTAACTTGCGAAAATATTCGACTTTTTCTATGCCTTAGATTTTAATTGGATTCCTTTAAAATATGGACTCCTCATGTTCCTACAGAAAGAAATTTGTGCCACAGCGTTGAAGTTTGAATTTTGCTGTTCCAAACATCAATGAAATGAGCATTTCTAAAAGCCATCATCACAAAGGGTGAGAAAAATGTGTTCCCTATAATAATTCATGGGCTGAAGCTTCGAATAATGGCGTCAAAAGTCATCCAGATTAGTTTTTCGTCAACAATGTATAACAATTTTATGAGTGTGGAACGATACCATTGCCAGAAAGATGGCAAAAGGTGTTAGGTCAAAATGGACAATGTATAATTCAGTAAATAAAAATATGCATAACAGATATCTCTGCAAAAAGAATAGCTTTGAAATTAAAATAGGCAACCTCAAAATTAACTTGCAATTCGTTGAACTTCTCTTTCCAAATAAAGCTGTGGTTCATAAGCTCGTTCTAATTTAAAGCACGGCAAGTGCTTTGGTTAATGTCACTAATTAAATAAAAAAGTGACAAAAAACTTGGAACTGGAGCACTGAAAGTTTGTGCAGCCTTGGCTTCTTGTGGAAAAACACGATTATTCATCATTTTTAATTTGACAGGCACGAGTTCTAAGCCTGAAACTTGCAGTCCAAACAAATTATATGTGGACTATAAAATAATTGAAAAGAAATTCGAATATTTCTTAAGACCACTGTTGATGAGTACTTGGCAATATTCGAAACAGCGTTGTATGTTCAACTAAATTTCAATAAATCAACTAAATATTTGTTCTTGTCTTTTCTTTGCTATTCGAATCCTTCTAAATTAAAAAAAAAAAATAAAAAAAAAACTAAATTATTTTCCATACAACCCTATGAATTTCCGGTAAATACATTTGTCACACCTAATGAAAATAAACTTCTTATTCTAATAAAAAGAAATTAAAATGAAATGGAGTTAAAATATTTATAATTTATATATACATAAGAATTTTTTTTTTAATACCTAATTTCGTCAATAATAAAAGGTTATCCTTTTTACAATTTATTAGAAGAAGAAATGTGTCTGCTTGAGGACATTTTAAAAAATACACAGCTCCTTCATAATTTGGAATAAGAGGTGGAAAAACTTTAGTGAGATAATATAAAGTCTAAGAACTCAATGTTTTTGTAACTATATAAATGACAATCAATTGAATTTTTCTATTAATTTTTGTTTATTCAAAAGTGGTGCTGTGATCGATAATCTGTAGTTCGAAAGTTTGAAATGATTTTTGTCTACCTTTGATAGACGAAATTTTTTTCGAAAAGTAGTGAACTACAACAACAAAAATTCTTTTTATATTATTTCAATTAATTAAATTTTTGGCTGACCATACTGTTGTTTCGAATATTGTCAAATACCCATCATATTCGTAAATAATTTTTTGAGACTGCAAATACCAGGAATCGAACTTGTGTCCTGCCAAATTTGAAGCTCAGAGTCAGCGTTCATTAGCCAACTGATGCAAAGCCGTACTTGATTTTAATGTTCGCACATTTTAAAGTAAAAAATTAAATATACTAGTTGCCGTTAATTAAATTATATATGGTAGACTTATATCATGGTGAAAAAGATATGCAGAATATTGACATTTCCAAAAAATGATTGCAAAATAAGAAAATAAAAATATTCTGACTAAAAATTGTGTTCTGATATTAGTCTTAAAAATTATATTATTTAATAATTGTATAGGAGTAACCATTCAAAAAAAAGAAACTTATTTTTTTTTGTATAATATAATAATTTTATAACTACTAAGTAAATATTACTAATTTTTTTTCGATCATCTTCTATGATTAAATTTTTAATCTAATATATAAAGTTTAAAGCTTTTTTTACTTTGGATATACAAAAACTTTCCATTCAAGGTGTCAAATTTTGTTGTATAAATTTTTGTGGTATATTCTCAACATATTGATTTCGATTTGATTTGATTATTATTTTAATTTATTCTTTAATTAAGATTAATAAAATTTATAAATTTTTTTTCGTAAGATGGTTGTTAAATGGTTGTTAAATGGCATTAATTATTATTATTATTATTATTTAATTTTAAATTTCTTCGAAGACTTTATAAAACTCATATAGTTTTTATAAGATATATTTTTTTTTATATTTACATAACATATTAAATTTAAAATTGTATTTATTTTTTTTAAATGTAAATCCTAGATAATGTCGGTAGTTTTTTTATAGAATTGAAAGTGGAACTAAGATTACCATTGTTATTAGATAAATATTTTTAATAGCGTTAGGTTTTCTCACATGGAATTTTACAATTTTTAATTCAATAGCTTTTTTATAACTATGACTCAAATCTATATTTTGATAATTTTTGATATATTTGATATATTTTGATAATTTAAAGTTAATTGCAGAATTACTTCGAAAAAAATTTTTTTCTGTCATTTTAGTAAATTAATTATTACTTCTTCGTTATTATAGTAATTTTAGAATGTTAATATTAAAAATAAAATGCCAATTAGTAATGTATTTATGGTACTTCCCAATTATGCTAAAAAAATTTGATAAAATTCACATTTTCAATAAACCAATATTATTAATTTAATTAAATAATTAAGTAATTAATTTGGTATTAAAATTTTCCCCAAAAAGTTATGAAATAACTTTTTTTTCGTAAAAATGAGAAATAATAATATTTAATAAAAGAAAATGTGTAGTTAATAGTTACTTATAATTATAGTTTACTTTTTGCTATTAAAATTTCCATTGTGATAAGTCTTATATTAGTTTATTCAATGAAGCAGAAGTAATAAAACCCAACTTTGCCGTAAATAATGGAATATATATTATATGAATATATATTAAATTTTTAAAAATCTTAATAAAGTGAAATTTTGTGACTTTTTATTTTTCAAAAACATTTAAAGTCTTTAAAATGAATTATATCTCGAAGTCAGACATTACATTTTTTTGTAATAAAATATTAAAAATTCAAACAATTTGAAACACTTAGTAACAGTTTAGACTGAATGTAAATAATAATTCCAAATTAGTTAAATAATTCCTAGTTCTACTAACATACTTAAAATATATTATTATTATTATATTTTTTCAAGGTTATTTAAGTCACAACAGTAATCATACAAAAGATGTGATTCTATAGGTGTATCCAGTTTTATCGAGTTTTTCTCTATATGGCATTCGTAACATGGTGAAAGTTTTTGTCAATGAAATGAGGGAGAAAATCTGGCATTCTTTTTAAAAGCATTATCATTACTTTAGTCCATATGACGAAAATCTGTGCTTTCTAGCACAACTTCACGAAATCAAACAGTGGGTTTTTCATATCTAAAACTCGAATACACCTTTTAATCCCACTTACTCACAGATAGTATTCTAGAATTTGCGAAAGGTCTCATTCCACCTATTCCTATTCTTAATTCCTGCTGCGTTTTTTTAAAATCAAATCCCTTTTGCTTTTTGGTTTTGTTTATTACGGCAGACAATGAATCCATTTTTAAATTCCTGATAGAAATTCGTTGCTTAACTTTCATTCAAAATATCTTTTTTCAGTTTTCTCTAAAATAAATATTATTTTCTTTAATCTATAGCTTTTCTTAATCTTAATTAGTATTAGTTTCCAATGCTAACTTAACTTTATACTTTTAAAGTTTGAATAAAGACTTTTTAAGATTTTTATATAGGACCTCTTGGAAAGTAGTTAGTACCTTCTTGGCGCTGAGCTGCAATATTTTGTTATAAACTGTATGTTATAAATAAGTAAATCTATGCAGATGTTTTTACTAGTCTTTTCTTAAATATATTACAGTCACTGCTAAAGACATAAAACTTAGCGAAAAAAAAATGTGATGATGAATGAGAACAGGTCGAGGACAAGATGGATCGATGAGGTATTGTAGTAGTCATATATACTTTCTTAAGAAGAAATATCTCTAAAACGTATATGTATGCGTATGTCATTCAAGATCCATATTATCAGATCATGATTTGTCAAGAAGTGTAGTGATAAGAAAGAAAAAGAATAAATAAAAATAGGCGCAAAAACTACACTACGGAAAGAAATCTACACAAATGATGCTTAAGATGATGATCACTTTATATTTTTCCTTTAATTTTTTCTACTGTTTTTTAAAATGTTCTTTATAATTCAATAAAGTGCAAGAGCCAATAAAATGCAGAATTAATAAAATAATAAATTTGCAACAACATTGTTGTCGTTTTATAATACATAAAACACATGATACACATGAGTTGTTTGCAAAATATATTTAAGTGATTATAATGAGAACATTTTAAATAAGAATTTAAAAGCTTTGTTTTACGTAAAACGAAACTACTATAGTTACTAAAGCGAAAACATTTAAAAAAATTTATATTTTGAAGATTCCATCTTAAGGATTCTTTATTGTATAAGTACTTTACTAACGTGAAGACTCAAAGGTTAAGCTTTAGAATATTGAATTTAAGTATATTTTTGCCAATGTATATTCTGTGAACTAATGCAAATACAATATGAAAAATGTATAAATAAAAAATAAATATTAAGGAAAAAATATAATGAATTTTTTGTAACACCAATTGGCAATATAGTTTAAAACAATAATAACAATTAGAATACTGATGTTTTTATAAACTTTCTACAAAGAATTTAAAGTTACGAATTTAGATTCCATAGTTATGTAAATACGGTAGACTTTGTGTGAAAGATATAATCTCAAAGCCTTTCGTTATTGCTTTATCTAATGTTTTTAAACTAAATGGAAAGCTTAATAACACTATCTTACACATAATTTCAAATTCGTTAAACACAACAACAAGTTTCAAAATAATCCATGTGAACGAAGTTATAAGTTCAAATAATCAAAAAAAAAAAAAAACAAAAAAAATAGGATATAATTAAAATAACAGACGAAATGATCAACGAGTTATCTTAAATGGAAATCAGACTCATTTTGTATATATTTAATAGCATGCTTCATCCCGCTAATTTTCCAAGATCATAGAAACTTTCTAAAACTATTACCATTACAAAAACAGCTGAAGATATATCAGTAGTCACCACATATAGGCATATTAGACTAATATCAGTGTTTTCAAAAATCTTTGAGAAAGAATATTTAATTAAATTTAAACTGCCCTGGACCTAAACCAAGGTATATCACAATATCAATTTGTATTTAGAGAAAACAATAATACATAATATCATAGAATTATCATAGTACATAGAATTATCTCATAGGAAGAGCATTTGAAAACAAACAAACTACATTACAGTTTTCCTATGTGTCGCAATTCCTTTTGATAAAGTTAAGTTAAAAGGTATATCTATAGGTTTAAACTATATGCAGATATACTTAGAAAGTATACCAATATGCAGATGTATCTTATCTTAGAGTAATTAATATGTTCAGTCAGAAACATTACGAGGGTTTAGGAAATAAAATATACAGACTTTATAATATGATAAATTGTTGTTATATGATAATTAGAAGAATTTTTTAATAAAATAATATAAAATGACAAATAAAAATGGTTATTTAGAGAGAACATTTTTGGTGTGTTTGTTATTTACAAATTTGATCGTTTGTTATTTACAGAGTTAATTATATCTAGTATTTGTTAAATCGAGTGTGTACTGTAATTATAAATTTTATTCCAGAAGCATATTTCTTAGTCTTCTTATTTTCTCGAACTCCAAAAAAATTTAATTTAAATATCACAAATTAGGTCAAGAGAATAGGAATAAACGGGGTACTGAACGGTAGTTCTCGCAGTCACAGAGAATGTGACTGCAGATCACGTGTGCTTCTAAGCTTAGTCGACAATCACAGATCCATTTTGTTAAGATGATAATGCAGTCCATGGTGACCCGTTAAATATCCTAAGAGCAACCTCAACTCTGTTCTGCTGTATAAGAATACCTTACCATAACTGTAAGGATGAACCAGCGCTTTAGCCCAACGGTTACCTAGAATGTCGCTCCAGTAGCGATTTCTTTCGGCTGAAAACCATTTATCAATCAGGGACCTAGTTGTAGACCAACTTTATCCACAATATTAAGTTGTTGATTAAGTTACTATTTAAGTTACTGTTACTATTTATTAAGTTACTATATAGGATACTATTTCAGAGATATCTAATTTGATTAGTTTTACTTTTCCAAATAAAATTTTATAAATGATTACTTTCATTTATTTTATAAATATAGTACATATATTTGGAGATTTAATAAATATTTATATGTCATGTATATATGCACATATACATATGATAACTGAATAACTCGTGTAGTGATTAATTAATTCAATTTAGTATTCCGAAAAATTTAATTAACATCTTTCAACAACGTCAGTTTGTGCTTTAGTTTGTGTCGTAAATAAATTGCGTTAAAATAGCAAAAGCCAGAAGATGCAACAAAGTATCTCGTCTGCTTGTGAGTTGATTTCTTTCTCTATTTATTTTGCAAGTTGCAAAAATTTATTATGTTTTTTGCTATAAACTAAACTAAACTGAACTAAACTTTAATAGCCTCTCTTAACTTGAAGCAAATATTCGCAGAATGTATGTAAACTTCCGCCTTTCGTTTGAACTTACCGTGTATCTGGCCTCAAGGATAATCGTACCGTTCTTTGTGAACGGACGATTGCTTTTCAGCAATGCTTGCTCGGGCAAATTGTGGATTTCCATTTTGTAGATTTTTGTTTCGTTTTATTTTATGTTTCCTGAAGTTTTGTTATTATTATTATTTATTTATTTATTTTATTTTTTTTCTGTTTTTTTGGTTCCTTTTTTATTATAGGATTTGCACGTCAAGAGTGGAAATCAATAAATCAAAGTAAGGAAAAAAATTGAACGAAATAAAATAAATTGAAAAAGATTTGTTGTAGTACGTAATTTAACACAAGGAAAATTTCATGAAAGAAATATTATCTTTTTATTTTTTATTTTATTTTTATTTTTATTTTTGTTATTTTGTTTGTTTATTTTAATTTTTACGGTTTTTGTTTTAAGTTTAATTTTGCACCGAAAAGCACGCGTTATCCAAAAATACTTAGCAATCAACTTGAGATGCTTGAATTTAGCTACTTTTCCGTCTACTTTTTTTTGTTTATTTTAGTTTTGTTTAAATTTCTGTCAAATAAGTTTAAAAAAAAAATTTTTTTTTTTCACTTAGATTTTGTTTTTATTATTGGAATGTGGAAAAAATTGGAGCAATTTTCAAAACGACAAACTTTAAACTTTTTTTTAGTTTTATTTAATAAAATTGTAAACTTTTGTTTTTATATTGAATAGCTTATTTTGCACTTCAAAGGAATTAAACACCAGAATTTCTCCCGATCAACACTTCCACTTGCAGTTGGTCCACTAACAATGAACCAACACATTTTCCGTCAGCCGTTTTTATTCAGTTCAACAGACCAATTATTATAATAATAAACGTATGCAAATATATATATATAAATATTATATTCTATCTAGAATAATTGTTGCAGATATATACACCGCCGTTTTGCCGATCGTTCAATTTGCAACTGAAATAATCATTAACGTTTCATTGTGCTTCGTTTCATACGTCTTAACAGATCGCTGTTATTTAACAGTGTGCTAAAATATGGTAAGAGAGCGAGTAACATTACTCGGCTAAAAAGCAAGACAGCACAGTTTTTAACTTATTCTTGTTGTTTGTTGTTGTTTTGTTGTTGTTTTGTTGTTGCTGCAGTAAAGCAAACTAAGAGCGCAACAGTTTGTTTATATTGGCACGTATACTTTGCGGTTTTTGTTTACTCTTCAGACGTGTTTAGGTTGTTGGACCGGCCTCCCTTTTATTGCCACAAGTCAGCAACGTTGCAGCCACTATAATTTACATAAACTGCGGTTTAGTGAAGCCGCCTGACTAACAGTTGTGCGTATTTATAATTTCAATCAAAATTAAATTTAATATTAAAAAAAATATATATTAAAAGAACATGGAAAATTATTTAAAAATTTTTTTTTGTTAAATATTTTGGCATTTAGCCATTGAAATGAAAAACGAAAGCCTCTTCAAGCTGTTGGCGTCTGCCGTTCACAGAGCAATGTAAACAAATTTTTTCGTATACAAAATGTTTACTTAAAATTTATATAAAATATTTAATTAACAATAATTTTTTTAATAACACAAAAATAAACAATAAGTAATTGTTTAAATAGAAATGCAATTATTGTATCATAAAACTAAGTGAAAGCGTGGGGTGTAAGTACTTAATATTTTTAGGCTGGGGTAGAGTAGACTTTCGACTATAAAATTAAATATTATTTTATTTTCACTCCTGGATGTTGGCGATCACATTTATTTTTTTTTAATTACCAATTACAAAATCAATAAGTGTGTTTACATGGTATATTGAAACAATTATATATTTAAAATTGTATTCAATAATAAATAATCAAAATTAACAAAACTCCAAAAAAATTTGCGAACATAAACGTCAAGTACGGCTTTGGGTTAGTTGACTAATGAACACTGACTCTGAGCTTCAAATTTGGCAGGGCAGGGAGTAATCCTTGGTACTTACAGTTTTATCAAAAATATTTACAAAAAAATAAATACAAGAAATAATTCCAAGACCACTGATGATGGGTATTTGGCTGTAATCGAAACAGCTGTATGGTTATCCAAAAATTCAATTAATTAAAATAATATAAAAAAAATGTTTGTTGTTGTAGTTCTACTGTTCGAAAAATCTCTTTATCAAAATTGACAATAAACGTTTACTTCTTTCTATTGAGTTATATGAATATGTTCTTCAATTGATTTTAAATCCGTCAAAAATTTGTAAATCATTACAACTACATTCATCCTATATCACGTCTTTGTTTTATATTTCTCTAAAATATAATTTCTGCTAAACATTCTAGTATAAAGAATGCATTTCTAGCAAATAAGCTCTCCTACCGTGCTTATTATTTTAGAATGATTGATACCTTATTTGCTGCGTCTTAGAACTTTTTCGTTTGCGCTGTATTTACTCCAAGGGATCTTTAGGAACCGACAAAAGCTTCTACTTTGTTCATCTGCACAACTTTAAGTGTCTACATCGTTAGATTATATTCATTATAGTTAATGTTAAATGTGTTTATCATATTCACAATATTATGTATAAGAAGTATACTCTGTTATTTAGTAATAAAGTCAACGAAAACTATACAACCATATCTTTTTAGTCTAATTAACAAGGGCAAGAACAATTGACACGAATGATTAAAATTTGTTGGGCGGTTAAAAATGCTACCCAGACCATTCAAATTGTAAAATTAAATTTAAAAAATTATTTAACAAAATATTAAATGGTAAACAATATAAAACCTAGAGTATAAGTTACGAGATACCGTACGATATAGAAAGCGTTAGATATAGAAAGGTAAAAATAAGGATATATATTACAAAAAGGATGTTGTGCCATTCCACAGGCAGCCATAAATTTTCATCCTTGATGTGCTTAATAATGTAGATCTATTCAAAAAAAACTGGCAAATCGATTATTCAGTAAAACAATAGTAATAGTATAATGATTATAACTATTTTAATATCAATTAACAAATATAATAGAAATAGATAATGAACAATTTTTTATTTTTTTTGAAAAATTATATCTTATTTTCACTAATATTATTTTCTGAGTACTGACTACAGACTATATTTGAATTATAGTAAAATGAAATATAAGTTTTAACAGGTGTATATTATTTAAACAATTTATAAATTAGACCATTTTAAAAATAAAAATAATAAATAAAAAATTTTGGTTACTAAAACAATAAATTTAAATATAATTTAAAAACTTATATAAAATCAAAAGAGTCTGTGAAGAGTATGAATTGAATAAATAAAATATCTTCAGGACAATTAAAATTTGTAAAATTAAATTTTAAAGCTGATTTGTACTTTATACGAAGACGTAGAATTCATACCAATATTAAAATAAATTATATTAAATTTTGTAACTATAATGGAAAAAAACAATTTTATTTAGTATTATAACATATATTTAACTTAAATAAATATTATATTAATTTCTAGTGTTATTAAGACAGTTTATTGTACTTACCTAAATACAACAAAGAAAGATGTATTTCCAAAAAAATCTGTAAGTAATGAAAAAATATTCTTATATTATTTATATAATTCAGTGACGATTATTAATTATTTATTTATAAGTTTTTAAATCTTTTTGTATATTTCTAATATACATATTTATTTATAATCACATATAGCAATTAATGAGTTTCAGTTTACATCATATTCAGTATATACATCATATACAATAAATTAATAATATATTAAAGTTATTTATTGATTTTTATTTAATTTATTAAAAAAAAAACAAATAATGAAGATCCTTTAAATAACAAAAATAAAGATCTTATTTTATTTATATATTTAGTCGCTTTAAATTAAAAAAACTAAAACAGAAATATTTTTATTAGGACACGTTTAGTTGTATTAAAGTAATTTATTTGTTGCAATTTTATTAAAAATTGGTTAAATATATAAATTAATTCTATTAAAATTGATTTAAAATATATAACTTACTTAGATTTACAATAAGTTCCTGCACAAAGATTGAGTTTATAAACTCTCTTAGCTAGTGTGTTAATTACCGAAATAAATATATACAAAAAAACAGTTAATTAAATTGTCTCAATATACTGATCAAAAACTTTATATATATGAATTATGCAAGTAGTCTCAAACTCCTAATATATTTGCATATAACAATCAATTAAAAAATCAATTCTTATTATTTTTTTATAATGAAATTTTATGAATTAATTTATTAATTTAATTATGTAATAAAAAAATAACTAAATAATAACAAAAAAATAATTATTAAAAATATAAATTTAAATTATATTTAAAAATAAATTTTCAATCTATGAAAATTAAAATAATATAAATCGAATTTGTCAGTTTTTATTATTTGAATAAAAAAATACTAATTCATAATAGAAAAAATTTGTGAGTGATTTTTTAATAATTTATAGATAATTTTAAATTAACCACATATTGTTTTCTAATTAATCTGTTGATTTAATTACACATGATATAATAATATAAATGTATATGTGTTACAAACGTTAGTACAATTTTCAATTAACACAGAGGCGTTACATTTTTTTGACACATTAACATATATAAGATAATTTTTCTAAAAAAGAAAAAAATATATTTCTGTGAGATAGCTAGATAGATCCAATTACTATCAAGTTTACTATACTTTAATCTAATTGTTGCAATTACAATCATTATTTTATGACTTATCGCATATTCGAAATTTTTGTAAAATAATATATAAAAAAATGCAACAGCTGGAATAAGTTGTGTCCATCATTTCTAATGTTTTTAATTTTTAATAATGATAACCTGACATTTCGTGGGTTTTATTCTATCTTCAGGGGATTTTAAAAAATTTTTTTAATTTTTTTTAGAAAATGTGAGTTATTGATTCTAAAAGTGTGTTTCTTTAAAAAGTCTAAACGTACTTTCAGTTTTTTTTTTTGAAACATGAGGTTACTTTCCTATTTTAACTATTTAGAAAGTAAAACAAGTCCCACTTCAAGTTTATGAAAACTTTCTATCTAGCACGCAGAATTTAAAAAAAGGGCTTTTAGTATTTGGTATAAAAACCAAATTACAATTCTCATACGTTTTGAATACTCTAGCATATAAATTAAGTACTAATACAGCAAAAATTCGTTTGTCAGGAGAAAATATTTTA